CTCTCTCTCTCTCTCTCTCTCTCCCTCTCCCTCTCCCTCTCTTTCTCTCTCTCTTTCTCTCATTCTCACACGCTATTTCTTCAGTCTCACAGTCTGGCATACACATGCACATATAACAGTTCATCATTATGACAGGTATGCATTTGTGAATAAGAAATGCTTCGGCTGCTTTTTAAAAAAATGTAAATTATTGGGGCTCATCTTATTTTGTATTAGAATTCGTTCTATAACTGGGGACCAAAGAACAAAAAGAAACATTCGCCGTATTTTGTTTTAGAGTTTTAAGAAATAGATAGTCAGAAGCAGATCTAAGGGGTCTAGGTGGTGATATAATTCCAGGAATTTTTTTAAGATAAAAAGGTGCAGTATCATTAAATGTATAAATTTTATACTTTAAAAACAGAAAACGGCAGGTTTGTATTTCATCCTTTCTTTTACTGGCAGCCAGTATAGTTCATTCAGAATTGGTGTTACGTGCGCTGATTTCTTTCGTTTCATTGCCTTTTTGCTGCTTGATTTTAGAGTACTTGTAACTTTGATAGTTTTTCGGCCGTCAAACTGGATAAGATAACATTATAGTAATACAAGTTAGTATTTTGTTAGACTACGGAGCGGATGGCCCTGGTTCAAAATCCCAAAAGGGAGGTTCTGAACTTAAACTAGTTTTGGGAGTTTATAAGGCTCTCTATGAATTTGGCTTGATCCTATCGGAGATGAATCTTAAGTTCTGAGACCCCTCTATCAATGGTAATACAGATTTGGTGTGATAGCATTAGTTTGAGCTGTCATCACCATCATCATTGCCTTTCTCACCCTGCATCAGGGTATATGCCACAAACAAACACTTTCCAGCTTTCCATGTCTAGAACTAGCCTCTTGATGCTATTTCATGTCTTCCCACTTTTCTGTACATCAATTTCTGTGACTCTTCTCCAGGTTCCCCGCGGTTTTAGTTTGAGCTGTGCTATCTATTTAACGTAATTTAGGTTTGGTATGGATTTTATACTTTTGAGTCAGATTCGACTTTTGATATGAAGAGATGATGGAATCTTGAAAATTCTTCAAAGAATATGATAGTCTTGTAAAAGATTGCTTGGTTGCCTTTACTACAGGCCGGAGACGTCTCAACGGGGTTGTGGATGGTTGGTGGGTACTCTGTTGTGTTTGTTCTTTCTTTCCTATCACACATCTATCATCCTTATTTTTCCTCCTTCTTTTTGTGTTTGTTACTCTCTTTTGACACCTCTAATCTTCAGCACTTATACGTCCTAATTGTGTTGCAAGTGCCGTAAAAATCATATTAAAACGAATCAATTTGCTCAATCTTGACACCTGATTGTTGACCCTTAAAGACGACAGGCAACGAATGACACGTTATGGTAGCATGTCCACAGTAACAGTAGTTGTGCTTAGAACGGCCTGGTACGAAATTGAGATCACTTGCTTCAGAAACAAATTTAGGAATGATTTTTGGAACTATGCAAATGTCGATTCAGGCAGTTTATTTTTATGCTCCCTAAATCATAAACGGCAAACATTATCTCAGGATGGGTTAATCTGTGAGAAGGTTGCACGCCCCAGGTGATTTGCAAGCTTCTCCCGTCATCGACGTCACATGAGTGAATGATCCGATCGATATCGTATTTCAGACTGTATCAAAAAGCATTCTTGAAAGAATAATATTATTTCGAATACGGCCCCCTAAACGGTAAAAGGGATAACACCATCGAATTCTCTAGACAATAAAATTAAATGTTTTGCTTTAAGACAGGAGGGATCCTTTAAAGTCAATGATTAGGGCTTTTAATTATCCTCTTTGGCACGAGACACGAACATGGGCAGTATCGCAGAGACAAACATGTCTAGAAGGAAATCGTAATGAGACATATCTGTCAGTCTGTCTCAGCCCGGGATTGCCGCTTTCCCTGTCTGTCTACCTGCTCGCCTGTCTCCCACTCCAAGTCTTATTTCAGGCTGATCAGTTATTCAGCCCACTCGCCCCTAAATTTTACTTTGGTTGCTACCTCCCAATCTACTGAGCCCCGTTTTGTTTCTAAATTACCATTTCTGTGTATTCGTCTTTTCCTTTATCTCTATAATCCTCCTGACTTTTTCTACATAAATCCTTCCGCCGAGCCGGATGCCCGGGAGACCTCCAAAAGACTAATGGTAAGAGGAAATGTAGAGAAAAATCTAGCCCCCAAGCTTGGCCTACTCAGAATTAAGAAAAGAATACAGATGGTGCAATGGGTAGTAAGGGATAGCTCGTTGTTTTATTGCAAGGTGTAAGGAGAATGTACGTGGAAGATCTTTAGCTGTTAGCTCCTGTGGGTCTCTGGGATCATGAGAACAGAAGAATATGATTACCGTTCAGAAATAATAGAATTTATACTACAACCTCGATGGGCACGTGGAAAGTCGAGGTATTCTGTCGTACCATGTCGTAGTAAACGTCTCACTTTTCCAAACTGTTCAACACCATAACGCAAAATACCGTGCAATTTTATACCATACTATACAACATCATACCACACCGTACCAAAGAAATACAAGTAGCGTACCGTACCACACCTTAACATAATATTGGATAATTTATCACATGAAACCGTACTATTTCAAAGTAGTGGATTCCATATGATACTATGGCCGCCACCCGGGCAAAATTCAAATTTTTTTTTTATCGAACTGAAAAATATAAATGCTTAATATGTGTCTCGCGCCCTCACATGACCTTAGGTATAGTTGTGAGCGCAATAAACTTACCAAAAAAAAAAAAAAGAAAAAAAAAAAGAAGACATTTCTAACCATCAACCATCGCGTCGCACTGCACCCAACCTACTGTCACTCTGTCTGTCGCCATTTCTCACCTCTATGGAGGTGTCTGGTTCATCCGGCTGGCAGACGCCTACACCATCAGTGAAAGCGACCCTTCGAGATCAACACTGGCCTAAAATTCGATTTCTCTTTCGTTCCCTTCCGTCTCTTTTGTCTCAGGGAGAAAGTCGATAGCTCCTCCAGTCAGTGGAGGGGGATCCGTCCGTGGGTCCAGACGCTCATTCGTCTACTTGTTCGTTCACTGTTTATTTATTTGAGTATGTTCTTCGCTCCGCATTTCCTTTCAGTTTCTGTATGAAATTCCATTTCGGATCACGCTTCGAAAAAACAAAACCAACCCCAAAACCCATTGGAAAATACGTTACATTGGAGAAGAATAGATAGATAGATAGATAGATAGATAGATAGATAGATAGATAGATAGATAGATAGATAGATAGATAGATAAATAGATAGAGAGAGAGATAGAGAGAGAG